CGTCTCCCCACCATGCCTGACCCACTGCGGGGTGTAGCTGCGGTCGGGGGTGGCTCCCCTGCCTGCCTTTGCCTTGCCCCTTCCTCTGTGCTTGTCTCCCCCACACCTGGCAGTGCAGGGGGGTCTCCCCTCCTGCAGCCACTGAGGATTTTTGGGGGCCCCCCCATGAGCACACTCAGCCCTTGGGGGAGCCAAGCCGGGCATTGGAGAGGACTTTGCAGCTCCAGACCTCCCAGCAGGTTAATGCAGAGGAAAAACCACTCGTTGTAAACTTCAGCGTGATTCGTTAATGATTAAAGTCTCCTTGTCACTGTTTAAACCAGTGCGAGGGCAGCGGGGACCGGCTGCCCCAGCCGGGCATGGGAACCCCGGCTCAGCTCCGTCCCCACGGCCAAGAGGTTTATTTAACGGCCACGAGCTTCCCCCACCTCCCCATTCTCAGGCTCTCGGCTCTCGCTTTCTGCCTGTAATGACTCTGCCCTTCGTCACGGGGCAGCTGAGCCGGCGGAGGGGCCCCCTATTTATTCTATACTGTGTATAAATCCAATGGCCTGGCGCTGAATAAAGGGCAGGGGAGAACATGGCCCCTCTCGTCTTGAGTACGGGGGTGGGACATAGGCATCGAGGCACAGAAGTGGGATTAAATTGGGTCCTGGCTCCTGCCTGCCCTGCCCTTGCTCAGTGGCCAGGCGGGGTCAGGACTTGTACCCTCCAGGTGAGTGGGTCCTGCCCTGCTGCCTCCTCGGGTGGTGGCACCTGAGGCCAGGAGGGAAGGGACAGTGGTCCTTGGGAGACAGAGCTGGCTCCTCGGCGACGGACAAGGGGGAACCACGCAGACAAGGGGAGTAGAAAAAAAAAAAACCAATGTACAATTATCAAATATACAACTCGGTGCGATACAGTCGGCTTCAAAAGATTCCAGGAGGAGCCGGGACGCGGGCCCGGCATCCGTCTGCTCTCAGTGCAAGTCCTTGTGTCCCGGCACAGCTGGGGTGCCGGAGGGGAAGGCGGCGGTGGTGAGGTTCATGGGATGAGCCGGATTGGGACAGCCCTGGAGAGGTGGGTGGTGGCAGAGGAGCCCTGGGGTGACAGTGGCAGGCTGACCTCTGGGCCATGCTGGGGCCGAGCTCCCCGGGCTGCTCCCGGTCACAGTCTGAGCACTGTCCGGCTCAGCGTGGCTTGTGTGTCACCTGCACCAGTGCCCAGCTCCGGGGAAACCTGGAGCAACACCTGGTACGAAGGGTGACCCCTCTCTGTCCCCAAAACATGCTGCTGCGCTGTCCCACAGCGTCCTGGGCTCTCCCAGCCCTCTGTGGCCAGCGTCACCCTGCGGCGTTAGCATGGACGCCGCCACGCAGAGGGGCA